GGTCTTCTCTACAAGCTCAAAGACTATGGTGTCTGTAAACAAATATTTGTTAGAATACAATAGTTTTTAACAAATCGTGTAATGAATATCGTGTTGAGCAGACACACTTCTAGATCATTTCATACTATGCCGGGGTTATAAATAATATGGTTGAAATCTTTGACACATTTTTGCACCTTTGGGAATGGTATGAATCCACTTCTACTCCTCTCCCAGCAATAAGTTAATTAGTAAGACTTGTATCTCTAAACCATTATCTCCAAAAAGAAAATTCTTACAATCTAAAGGAATATTTTCTGGCTTTAAACAACGTGCAAAAGGTTGATAAATCGTAGAAAATGAATCAATCAACAATATTTTTAAAAATTTAATTTGTTTAGATCTTGTGTGCCGCGTTCCTTCTGTACGTAGGCGATAATGGCTCTCCACATCTTCTTATCCTGTGTAGCTCTAAGCAATGTTTATTACCACTTAATGTTCTGCTATACATTAGGCACGTTATTCGATGTTTTGTTGAATAATAGTCTAGTAGACTATTATTTTTTAGAGAATTGTATTTCTTCTCTGACTTCCTCATTTTGACCTTTGAGGTCAGATACAGGAAAACAAAAGAAGTCGTTTTGATTGGCTAAATGGGAATGTTGGATGTAGAAAGGGATTTCAGTGAACTAAATTTTACACAATCATACAATGTACACGTCGTTTTTTCGTGTCTCGAAGCTTGGTCCCAATGTGGATGATAGAGCGACCCCAGTGGCTAGATAGAAATATACACGTGACGTATTCAGTAAAATAGTTAAGTTAAAATTCCTTTTATTGATGTCTCTCTTTTAATTCCGAAACAAATAAACATTTCGCTACCAAAAACATTTCGACAAGAGAGAAGACATCTTTATTGTCAAGTCGATCCCGTCGTTCAAGAAAACCTCAGAAGAAGGGGCTATATAACAATTTCCCTCCGAACCTCTTGCCTTCATTATGTGCTGTAACTGTCAAATTTGGATCAGTTTAATATACGAATGAGACATACATGTTTAGTGAGTTAGAATTGATTGATTGATTGATTTTGTTTTACGGATTATCAAACTTTTGCAGTTTATTTAAAGCTGAAACATCTTTTTTTTTTTTTTTAATTATGAGCATAATTATGTTTTTTCGAGAATGAATATTGTCCGAAAAATTTTGGGGATGAATATAAGTGAAAAATAAACGATTTTTCCAAATACAACTCGCATAAAATATCTTATTGTAATCCTGTGTGGTCCTATATATAAAAACAATAGGATCATTTTTGACTGAAGACAAACCGTTTCCTACTAATTAAAGATTCTTATGGTTTGCTAAAAAAATGTATCTGTTTCAGACATATCTACATTTCAGATATATATTATAAATTAACTGATCTAAAATATGTTTTTTTTCGCTACACAGTATTAACCATGTTTCAAAAATGGAAGCTGAAAGCTTCGAATTTAATTTTGTAATTAAATTAAAAACATTAGTTCCATTTCATCCTCAAGCGAATTTTGGAGTAACTTATTTTTTGAAAATTTACTGAGTTTTAAAGGCACAGAAAAATTCATAATTCAGTGTTCCCAAGGATACAGGGAAATTCACTCATTCAGCTTCCATTTCTGAAACATGGTTAATACTGTGTAGCGAAAAAAACCATATTTTAAATCAGTTAATTTATAATATTAATGCTCTGTAAATTTACATTGAGCACTATTTTGTAAAAATAAAAAAATACCATTAAGAACACCGGATTATATATATATATATATATATATATATATATATCTTACTGTTACTGTTCTTTCTTTCGCGACACCTCTTGGAATGATGTTTTTATTCTTCGCGTTGAGAATTGTACCACTGAGGTCTCTTCTTGGGCGAAAACCAGCATCTAATCTTTTGCACCAGCACTGAAATACCAAGTAAAAACACAATCTTGCCCTTGGTTCTCTCCTGTTTGTTCAGCCGCAATAGCCCACAAAACTCACTTCTTCCGGCTATACCAACGCGACAGTACCGCTCATAACAGACGTCTCTTTGTATCCGCTCGTAATCAGTGTATTGGTTTACTCAACGAGGCAAAGTCGGTATTCGCTGATAGAATGAGACACTGTATAACCTCTCACAAGTTTGGTTCTAGAGATTACTGGCAGTTCTGTAAGATAGTGCTGAACAAGGGCGATATTTATTTGTAAATATTTACAAAATGTGGCACAAGGTCAGAACGGGGAAAAGGACGGTCTTCATCTGTTTTAACTTAGCTAGCCACAAACACTGACCCAAACATACCACACTATTCCTAACATCAAAACAACACATTCTTAATTACTTTTCTTACTGCATCCACCATAATACCTCATTGTCTCTATGAAAATCCTAACTAGTCCCCATATGTATTAGGTTGGTGCATAAATAATGACGTAATAATGTCGTTTTTTGACGTACTTTTAACGTCGAAAAACGATATTATTACGTCATTATTTTTGCACCAGCCTAATACAATTGTCTGTGGGGGGGGGGAATAAAAACAACAAATTAAAAACTAGCCCCAAGGAGTATTTACAACATGAAAACAAAACTATTTACAAGAAATCAAGTAAAATAATGTTAGCAATAAACTCCCAACAATCCTTGAACAAGAGCAATTCCTCAGTCCCTCCTCTATTCTATTGATATTTTGCTGACAGAGCAGAATGCTTTGCTTGGAAATTCTATTCCAATTTCATTCTCGACTCATAACGCATGATTTTCCCCCTAGAACGGAGTCGCTACTGAGTGATATGCATATAACTCATCTCTAAAGTAGACCCTCCACAATGCATGCGGACTCGACGGTGTCCCTGCAATTGCTCCAAGGAAATGTGTTTCTGAAATGGTTCATATTCTACAATAAAATCCTCACTGCTTCTTGCTTTTCAGCTTGTTGGAAGTCCTTTTATTTAGTTCTTGTCTGCGAACTTTGAACCTTCTGACCCTACGAATTATGACCTTATTAGTCTTTTACCTCTTTTTACCAAATTACTAGACGCTCTAATCAACGCCGAATTGGTTCAGCATCTTTCTTTCGGATAAACAACATGACTTTTGTTTCTCTAGGTCGATTGTCGATGTGTTAATTGTGATTACTGAGTTTGTCTATCGGGTTTTAGATATGAACGGCGAGGCTTAGGCTTTGGATATCTCGAAGGCGATCGAAATGCCTTGGCATACTGGTCTTCTCTACAAGCTCAAAGACTATGGTGTCTGTAAACAAATATTTCTTAGAATACAATCGTTTTTAACAAATCGTGTAATGAATATCGTGTTGAGCAGACACACTTCTAGATCATTTCATACTATGCCGGGGTCTGCCAGGGCTCTATCCGTGGACCTATGCTGTTTCTTATTTTCATTAATGTCATTATTTACCAACTAGGTATTGATACTGATGGTAATTATTTGATCCTGTATTAGTATTAAGTCCGACTTTTTTTTAACAAAGTAAAACTGGTAGCTGCTCTCGAAAATGATCAATCAGTGGCTAATTGGAGCAAGGAATGCCTTGTTTATTTTAACGCGTCCAAAACAAAACTGCTGCCATTAAATCATCATAGAGGACCTTTTCTGTCTTCCATCAGCATGGCCGATGCTAACCTCCTTTGCAACTCTTTGCTCTTACTTCAACTCCTGTTTTCCATTGATGGAGTCGGTATATCGAATCAATGGCTAGGTCTGCTGCTAGAAAAAAAAATTGGCTTATTGTGTCAGCCCAGACAATTTTTATCATCAGTTTCCATCTTGCACATTTATAAATCTACTGTTCGACAATGGATTGAATTTGTTGCCATACCTGGCTTGGTATTCCTTCTATATATATATCTTGAGATTCTAGACAAAATCCAAAGAAAGAGTCTGTAATCTAGTCAATACTGACCTGGCATCTCTACTTCAATCACTTTCCTACTGTCATGATGTCTTTTCTATAAGTATTTTCATGGTTGTTATTCTGATGAACTTTCCTCTTTGGTACCTTGACTGCATGAATTTAAGCATACTACTAGATTGGCAGTTAGGTCTCAATGTCTTACTGTTGAACTGAGATGTAACTGCATGTTTAATTCCAATAGTTTCTTGTATTTCTTGCCAATGGAACTCTCTTTTGCTTTGTTGCTTCCCTACCACATAGAATGTTCAACATTTCAAATGCAATGCCAATCACCATATTCTGTCTTCCTGATTCTTGTTTTTTTTTTTAAATGTCCTTTCTCCGCACTAAAGTGTTCTCGATTTCTTTCACTCCCAGTAACACTTTACATTTTAGTGGCATTATTGCTTTGTATGTGGTGAAAGGATTAAAAAAAGAAAATCTGTAAATTAATACACTTGTCACACTTGGTTGAAAGGTAAGCAGAAAGAGAGAGAGAGAAATATAGAAAGTAAAACAGAATCAGAGAGAGGAGGATGTGAAAGACAAAAAAGCTGTGTGATACAAAAGGGATTGGAGTGGAGGCTTATCTTAGATAAAGGTAGTTGTTTGTAGTGAGCGGTTAGATCATTTTTCATGACCTATTTGTTGAGGACATTTCAAGATTTTTAGGAGAGACTGCGACATGGGTTGAAAAGTACAGAATGCAACATTAAAAGATTTGTTAGCAAATCTATGTAATTTACATGGATCATGCAAGTTTCTGTTATTGTCACAAATCTAAAACATACTATAGTAAATAAATGAAATATTTTCTGCATGAAGAGAAGTAAGGAAATGTTTTCTTATATATAAATTTATCAACTCCTATAAAAGAAAGTAGCATACTGTTTTGGACATCTTCGAAAAGTTGTAAAAGTAGAAGGATACAAATTTCAGTTTGTCATTGACTTTGATTAAGATTTTTCATTTGCAAATTTCTGCTGACCAAACAGAATATTTGTATTTTTGAATGACAGCTTAAAAATGCTTACATGAAATTTGAATATTAATTAAAGAACTGGCTGGTATTCACAAAGGTTTACCAAAATGACGAAGACAAAGAAACTCTCTCAAGAATTCTGTGAGATGATAACTGACCAACCCCATGCTAAGGGATATTAAAAGATCTTCAGCAAGGTCAATGACCCTACAAATATGATTAGAACTTTCATAATAATAACTAGAAATATCAACAGAAATTTCACGGTTTTTGCTATTTGAATTTTCTGGTGAATTCAGATTATTAAGTTAACAACTGAAGTCTTTTGCAAGTTTCACAACTATAAAATACTAGTAGAAATTCACCTATGTCATCGTTAAATATTTGAGTTTAACAACTTTAAATATTGCAATAATAATCCTGAGTATAAATGTTGGTTGTTATTTTAAGGAGTAAGAGGGTAGAAAGGAAAAGATTTGAAAATGACAAGTTTTTAATTTCACTGAAGCAGACATTAAACACATGGCAGCTTTATCGCTTCCTATGTCTTTTTTTTTTCCACTGGAACCAAAAAGCATTTATGTCTTTTATGACTATCCTCATGATAAAAATGGAATAATTCATTACTTATGAGCTATTGGCAAAGTATAACATCCATGTAAAGGAAGAAGCAAAATTATAATGTAAGGAAAAAAAAAAGTATATTCACTAATATATACGTATAGCTCTGTATCATTAATTGAGCACACTATTAATAACACCTGAGGAAGAAATATATTTATATGTATGTGCAAGTATATGTGTGTGTATGTAGACTTTTTATCCTACACATTCCTGTGTGTGTGTGTGTGTGTGAGAACACACATCACTTAGAGAGATGGATATTTAGATAACAATAGCAACTTATATAAAAATATGAAAATTTTTATTTTTAGCAACTTATATTGTTTATATTAATTTGTTATAAACAAATTTATATAAAAAGCTGGATTAAAATTATCTGTTTGTTCTATGCAAGTAATTTTAATCCAGTTTAAGTGCTTGCGATTGAGTGATTTTGATAATCACCATTTTCAGTATGATAACATATGTTTAAAGAATTAATGGAATTATTTTTAATCTGACATTTTTATTACCTCAGTTATTATAGTAGATACTTAATATTTGAAATATAAGCCCTATATTTATTTTTTTAAACATCCTATAGCCATAATACACACTATATAATAAAAATGGCACATCTATTTCAAATTCAAAGAATCTGCTATATCATTGTTAGATGTGTACATATATATATATATATATATATATATATATATATATATTACAATAAACGTGCAATCAATTTACAAATACATGAATTATTCACACAAAACTAATGCAAAGGTTAATGATTTAAATGGTGAGACATCCATCTCGCAAACAATTCAAAAACGAAAGCTTGTAGTAAAAATAACAACTAATACGGCAGAAATTTATATAAACAAGGATCAATTCATTCATAACAGATCTGGAAGTTTTGTGTACTATTTGAATTGTTTGAGATGGATGTCTCACCATTTAAATCATTAACCTTTACATTAGTTTTGTGTGAATAATTCATGTATATGTATATATATATATATATATATATATATATATATATATATATATATATATAGTGGTCTCTCCTATTGTGAATGATAAATGAGACATTTCAAGTTGTCTTTCAATTTTTCTTTGTAGTGTAAGAGTGGACATCCAATTTAACGCTTGGAGTTTGGTAGTTGTTTATACAGCACCTTCTTTGCAAGCCTCTTCTCATCATCCATTTGCAGAATATGACCAGCCCACCTAACTTGAATGGTTTCAATGCCTGTGATGTTGTTACATTTCTTCAATATTGCACTATTCTTGACCCTGTCATCCCATTTCCCGGGGATGTAACTGTAAGAGATAGATCAAGTATCGACCATCATAAAGACTGAAAAATAAAATTGACAAAGATTATTGTTTAAGGTTGATGGACATGCATGTCTTAATTAGTTTTTTTTTTTTTTACGAATTGGTCAAACCTAAACTCAAACAAAAACATTGTTTTCAATTGTTATGAGTCTACCAATTGAATAGAATTTTATTATAAACAATTGTCTTGTAAATTAAATTTTTAAAGCATTCTGAATGTAAAAATAAAGAAAAAAGTGTGCAAGACAATAAGAAACACTATCTGCCAAAAAAAAAAACTGAAGTTTTGTTGAAATTGGTTGAAAAATGTAGGAAATCCGATCCCATATATAAACGAACACACACACACACACACAAACAACCTGGGTTTTATAATAAGTATAACTCGATATGAGTTATCCCCCTTTCATTCTTGGAACAGCGATTACTCTTAATCGTGTTTTCAAATTGATTTTGTGCAAAAACAATTGTGTTTTTCCAATTTTCGGTGCTGTCAGAACCACCGCAAGGTAATTTTACGTAGTTCTATGAAGTTTTGTTGAAATCGGTTGAAAAATGTAGGAAATCCAATCCAATATATAAACGAACAGACGCACACACACACACACAACCTAGGTTTTGTAATAAGTATGATGGCACAAAGAAAGTGCATGTGAAAGGTGTCAAGTTGGTAGAAGTTATTCGAAAAAAAATATTTACAATCAAATTACCTACATGCAAATAATTTTTTAAATTATTGTCAATTGGGTGTGTGCTTGTGCTCTCTTAGAGAGAGTATAAGTAATTTAACTTACAGTGTATGTCGACTCTCCTATCTTGAACAATAAATGAGGGTCATCATTGGATGGTGCCTTTTGTTTTACACTTATGCATGCTAGCAGGGCCTATTGTGGAGAAAATCAGGTAAAGGAAAGACATTTCATTTGGGCTTTCTTAAGTGTGATACTAGCCCAGCCTTCCTGTGGGTGACAAAGCTACACTGATAGATAAAATTTGTTAAAGCAGGATTTTGATGGCGTCTCTACTTGCTTCAGTCTTCGAAACCATTTAACTTAATGAAACATGTCTTACACTACTCCTTTTGGTTTGATGCTTGGGCTTCCCAGGTTTTAAGATAAAGTTGAGACATTTCGAGTTGTCTTTCAATTTGTCTTTGTAGTATAAGTGTAGACATCCAATTGAACACTTGGAGTTTGGTAGCTGTCTCCATACAGTAACTTTTTTGGAAGCCTATGCTCATCCATTCTTACAACATGATCAGCCTACCTAAGTTGTATCTTTGCTACTATGGCTTCAATACCTGTGATGTTGTTACATTTCTTCAATAATAGAAATAGGCACCAATATTTCATTTAATTTCAACCAATGCAGTGTATTTTTATTTTATTTTTCTACTTTCATATAAATTCAATAAATCAAAATTGCGGATAACTTGTTAAAATTTAATTTTTTTTTTTAGTACTTACCATCATGACCAATATTGTTAGAATGCTGGACAGGCTTCCGTTGGCTACATTCTGCTATTTTTGGGACTACTATTTTAAATTCAAAAATACTTGTATCATGAGGTACTTTGAGATAAGTAGAACAGTTTCACAAAGCTTGACAAAATGAACTTATATCCTACATGTATTATTACTTTAAACATGCTTTAAAACAACATCTGATGTGGGGAACTGTCTTATTCTTGAATTTTTAAGATATTCAGGTGATTTTTTATTTTTTTATGGACTGACTTCAATAGGCGCCCCAAATTTTGTGGTCTTGATATATTCTAACCAAGTTTTGTACCATATTGATTTTAGTTTAAAATCCTATTCAACCATTTATTTTTTTAAAGAATTAATAATTCTGTAATGAAAATTTTTTTTCTTTCTTTAAGTCATATGCTTTTGTGATAATGGCACATTTTCTTTTTGAAAAAATAACCTCAGGAAAATCTTAGGATTTGAAAAACTTCATTAAATTTTTTCTCAAGTCAGTTACAGCAAAGAAAGAATAAAATTTCATGAATTAGTTAAAAAAAAAAAAAAAAAAAAAAAAATATGAATCAGTTTTTATTTTGATGTTATGCTGACACAGAAAATATTTTCAAGTCCCATACACCAAAATATAACAAACAAAAGTTGCATATTCTTGATTGGCTTCCAATGTCATAACTTAGATTTTAGTAGTAATGAGAATATAGAGTCCTTTAAAGGTTGAGCTCTTAAACTAGAGAGTGGCAGATTTCGTCGTATTACAAAACTTTTGGGATCATAATGATGATTAAATTGGTTAGAATCTCCAAATTCTTGTTTAGTCATTGGAAATTCTTTTGTACCTGTGTTTACTTCAAAATTAACTTCTTTTGGATATTTGTCATCACCTAAAGAAAAAAGAAAGAAAGAAAAAAAACTTAAAGACATGCGATGTTAAATTATTAAAAACAAAAAAAAAAAAACTTACAAATTATACAAAAATATTTTGAAAAGTTTACACTGTCCCAGTATTCTGCCAATTATTTAAAATGACAAATTTGCAAAACAACTGCAGCAGCTAAAAGCATTTGGAGTAACATTTGATTTTTAATAAAAATTTATATCTTATTATCTTTGGGATGAAGTTATAAGAGACAAAGAACATCACTGGAAAATACAAAACCTTAAGGAACCAGCACATATGATATGCCACAAAAATCTCCTAAGTAAGCCAAGCATAGAAATGAATACAATATAGGAACCAGTAATAAGGAGTGCAGGAGAAAAAACAATAATAACAAAAAAATTGCAATATGAGCTTTTGTAAAAAGTGAATTAAGTTTATAATTCACAAAAATTCATACATTAGTCAAGTGGATAAAAGCATTGGTTGGATCCAGTGACTTGACCCAAAGAGTCAAGGCTATGGCAGTGGTCAGCGAAAACTTGGAGAGTTGAGTTAAAGGGTGATAACTGAGACATCTGGAAGAGGCATGGCACATGGAACTAGAACAATCTAACCCGGTGGACAAAATAAAGAGTTCAATTTGAAATTCCAATCACTTGAAGAAAGTCAAAATGGCCAAATTGTTGTGAATATGACAATAAAGATGAGGACAATAGTCTGAACAATGTAAATAATTACAATGCTTCATCTCGGAAATATAGACAGATACTTAAGCTTACTTTTTAAAAGTTCAACGATAATTCTTTAGCTGTCACTTAATTTAAAGATTATTTGATGTATGTTCATCCTTACTTTCCATACAAACAATTATCTTTATTTCATGAGTTAAATCCAGCAAAAATTTTCAGTTAATTTTGATTTTTTCAAAATTTATTTCCAAGTTATTAAAATTATTGTGTAAAAAAAAAATTGTTGCAAAAAATCTTGTAAAAAAAAAAAAAAAATAATTGCAGTAATGAAAACTTGGGAATCCAAAATTTCAAGATTGCTGATCTTGATCCAGCCTAGAATGTTTTTAATTTGCTCACGGAATCAGCCTGATTCCAAAATGGCATGATATGTTTGGCTATAACCTTGAGGAGTAAAGTTGAATAAGTGTGGCACAGTGACATTTGCATTTATGATATATTTATATTAGGTACCCCCAAAAAGAGCACAGCATGATGAAAAAAAGTCAAAAACTTGATAAAAAAGATTTTTTTTTGCCAAAATGTTTATATTATTAAGAGGAAAAACAAAAGTATTTTTTTTATTATTTTTTTAAATTTTTTAATCCTTTCTCGCATGTTTGAAATTTTGGTTAAAAATCTTGATTTTTTTTTGCACTAGTGGGTGGACCAAAGATTAGTATAGGAAATTTAGCATCTTCTTTGCAGTAAAAAAAAAAAAACACTGTATGAAAAATTCTTGCAAAATTTAAATAATTGTCCGATTTTAATTAAATTTTCAGGACTTATTCACAAATGAATTAAAATATTTTTGAAATATTTATTTTAGGAAAATCTAGGTAGAAATATATCTATATATTTTTTTTTTACATCTGTTAACCCCCACTTATTTAATTTTATGAAATCGCAAGAAATTAAAATTCCATGAACTTGATATTTATATTAGTTAAAAGCAGGACTCCTTGAAGAATTTAAATCAATTTGTTTTTGTCAAACAGGAGCCCTGATCTGAACTGTAAAATAAAAAAAATGCAATAAAACTATGACATTATTTAATTAGAAAAGCTTTTAATTGCATTTATAAGTAAGATATTTTAAGAATATTATCTTAAGAAAAGATTTATTTCAGTGACTAATGAAATTTTACAAGAATTATTTTCATTTTTTAAAAATTTTATTTAGAATAATTTACTAAATTTTACATCTTAAAATTCTGTATTAATTTCAGTGGTTTTGATGATATTATTATTAAGTGAAAACTATATTTACTAATCATAAATGGAAAGACTTAATACAAATCATGAAAGACAAATATTTTAAAAATAATTTTGAATTTTGTATATATGTGCTGTTTTTTGTCAGTATGAATCAGGGAAAGTAGTGTGTAACATTTTGTCAGTATATTATCAGAAAATAAATGTGATGACTATGGTAAATTTCAAGCCAAAATTTCTAAAATTCAATAAAACAGATTGTGGAGAATATTTTCCTAAATTTTCACTGATTTGATTAATGAGTACTTAAAAATTAAATACAAATGGCAGTGACATAAATTTACTTCAATCATGTTTTACATATAAAGTCTCCATAGAACAACATTACATCTGTTAACACTTTATCAAACATGTAAACAGAGCTACTGTCTGGTTAAAAACTGCATTTCTGCAACATTTTAAACTTAAAGTAAATCATATTTGTTTCAAATCAGATTAATTATACTTTAAATCTGCTAATATTCCTCAAATAAAGTTTTAAAAAGGTATATTTTATTTTTGGAAGATTTTTTTAATAAAAGATAATTACATTGTGATGAAAGATGACTAAAATGAGGAGTAATCAATTATTTCAGTAAAAAAAAAAAAAAAAAAACTCCTTCCAGTCAGTTTAAATTAGTTTTTGAAATAATTCATTTCAAACCTCACATAACACGTTTTTGTGGAGGTGTCTATATATAAAGTGGACATTGAGGTCAATATCCAGTGGCAACAGTCTGTTTCATGCATAAATGTAATTGCAATCGTAAGGCCATATGCATTTTGTTTTGGCTCGACTATACATGCATTATGGGTAGTAAGGTCTGTTGTATTATCCTAACAGTTATTGGGGGAGGGCATTAATGGTTATGTTTCAAATTATTCTAGGGGCGATTGAGAGGAAATAATTGTGGATCCAAATTATTCTAGGGGCTATTGAGAGGAAATAATTGTGGATCCAAATTATTCTAGGGGCTATTGAGAGGAAATAATTGTGGATCCAAATTATTCTAGGGGCTATTGAGAGGAAATAATTGTGGATCCAAATTATTCTAGGGGTGATTGAGAGGAAATAATTGTGGATCCAAATTATTCTAGGGGCTATTGAGAGGAAATAATTGTGGATCCAAATTATTCTAGGGGTGATTGAGAGGAAATAATTGTGGATCCAAAGGCAAGGAAAATTTCTTCTTAGACGAATTTTTAAAAGGTAAGAATACATTTTTATTGTGGCTTCTTTTATATCCCGTGTCCCTTCAGGATGTAGGTGATCATGGCCCTCCACATCTTCCTGTCCCTTGTATCTCTTAATAAGTTTTGCCTTTTTGTTATTTCTCCCAAACCCTGTTCTACCATCCACTTAATCCATCAATTATGTTACATACTACTTTCCCCTGATCTCTTTTCCTAAATCTGTCCTGTGAGTATCAGATTTTCCAAGCTCTCCTTCTTTCTTACATGCCCCAGAAATTTCAACTGCCTCTTCCTGATGTTAAGTATAAGTTTCCTTTTTGTTTCCATTTTCTCCAAAACCTTATCGCTGCTCACATGTTCAGTCCATGGTATCCTCAGTATTTTTCTGAAGAACAACTTTTCTGTTGCTTCAAGTCTCTTCTTCATCTTTGAGGATATTGTTCAGCATTTGCTACCATAGGGGGGGGAGATATCATTTACCAGTTCAACAATCATTTTTTTTGTTTCTAATGAAATTTTTCTATCGCTTAATAAATTGCTTAGCTTCTGGAATGCATCTTTGCCCCCCCCCCCAATGTGTCTTCTACGTTGCACTATCCGTCCTGTCATGTTGATATATAGTCATTGCAGATACTGCAGAAATTATTAAATTTTTAGTACACTTACACATAATACATTTCTTATGATAAACATTAGATCTTGGAAATTAACTTCAAGCCAAGTGTTCTTTGTCACTAATGTGGCACCATGCATCCAGGCGATTTGAAAGATATATTTATAGATATATGATTTGCTTTTTTACGGTTTATCAACCATTTGAGGATTATTTAAGGCCGAAATGTATTTTAGGTTTTAAGAATAATTCTTTCTTTTTGCAAGAGGATCGTGGCACCATGCATTCAGGCGATTTGAAAGAAAGAAAGGGGAGAAGAAGAAAGGGAAAAGGAAAAAGTAATGTGGACGGATCATAGACGAACACACACACACACGGCTTAAGAGACGGGAATAAGAAAGAAAAGGGTTACTTTTGATAGGTGTCAAATGTCGAAAAGAGTTTCATTACAATGACAATGAGATTGAGTGGGTGGGGAGGTGTTATCTAAACTATTGGTACGAGAAAACATCTAGGCCACCTGCGAACAAGCATTGACCTCATTTCCGCCATCCACTAAAAAAATGGAATTGTGTTATCAAGAGATGTCACCAGGGAAGAAGTCCACTTGGGAACGTTAGATTTTGATAATTGACAAAACACAGGTGTAGCTTGAAGCCTTAGCTGGGTATGGAAAATTAAAATCCCACACAAGTAGTTTCACTGGTTAAGTTTTTTTTTCGACAAAACAGACTTTTGCCCTGTGATAATAAAATTTTGTTATCAGACACATGAACTGAAGGAAACTGAAATATTTTTATTTCTGCTTTGGAGACGTCAGACTGGCGGAAAACTTGGAGAAAATTCCTTTCTTAGACCATGTCAGATAATCCAGCCGTCTAGTGCATTACCGATAAACTGCTTGACAAACGCCACGTGTTGAACAAAGAGTTGTCACATTAACCGCCCATGATAACGGCGATTTGAAAGAAAGAAAAAAAAAAAAATAAAGAAAGAGGAGAGATCATTAATTTTTTTTTAGTTAAGCAAGGTATATTTCTTTTCCAAAACAAAGCCATGGGTTGTTCACGCCCGACTAAGATGTCATTGGCCAAGTGGTGATCACATGACGCACGAAGGAGGAGGGAAGATACCCGACCAAGACCTCATTGGCCGAGAGTGGTCACGTGACGCACGAAGTCGACGCCCCTATCCAGAGTATAAGCATGAGAAGCCACTACGAAGAAGTAGGGAGGGCAGTTCATGCCCCTCAGAAGCATGGTGAGTAAGTGGGAGTGAGAAAAAAAGTTACCAAAAATGGAAAAGAGTGGAAAATCCCTAACCAGAAATAAAAGAGGTGGATATGTATTTAGAATTATCGAGGAAACCCCGACGCCAACAGACCCACCCCAGTTTTGACGGCGTCAATAAAAACGAAGCCCCACCAGACAGAAATCAGTTCGTCGGACTCTGGCAGGCAGAGTTAGTTCAGTTTGTTCGACCCAGGCGGGCAGAGAAGACAGTTAATTCAGACCGGACGGCAGAGATGAGTGCCCAGTGTTGAAACTGCCTCAAGATAGCTGACCAAGATTCACGAAAAATTTTGGACTCTTCTTCAACCAAGAACAATTAGTTTGAACAGTGACTTAGAACCAGACCACAGAAATATGTTTTTCGACTTTCGTCCAAAGACACACCGAAACACAAATTTCTTAGAGAGCAGACAACTTGAAGCGTTAAAACTTGCCTAGCGAAAGCGACGTGCCACAATCCACAGAACGGGTCGGGAGATAGATGCAGTCCTATGTACCGAACAACTAGACAAAAAAAGTTTGTTACCTTTTTCTTTGATACTTTGAACTTTTTTGAGTTTTCATTTTATTTTCTTTTATGCATATTTGTGTGTTATCACCCCCGTTGAACTCAATTTGCATTACGGCCCCAACCCCTGTTTGATCTCGTCTGTCTAAGATCAATTCACAACGTGGGTAGGCAGACTGGAGATCAGTGCAGTTACCTTGGTAACCAGGCGTTGGAAGCAGGTTGGGAACGGCGAGGCTGATATCAAATCTAACCAGATTCCTACCCGAATCACCAAAGGGTTAGAACGTCACGTTTGGAGCAGCAACACCCGGACGGAGCAGCGAGGAGTGAACAGCTGGCGCCCATGGCCTAAGACGTCACAATTGGTGCTGTTTGGGGACGTCACATCTGGTGTCATGACCGGATAGGACCCTGAAACGACCACGTCACAACTGGCGCCGTGGTAGATCAGGATAGAACGTCACAGTTGGCGCTGCGACCGGGGGACGATGTCACAACTGGTGCTGTGACCAGGATCAGAACCTGGGGCAGCCACGTCACGTCACACTAAGCAATGAAGAGACATTATATAAAAGGTTTAATTACTGGATTTAAAAAATGCACATCCCTTGTTGAAACTTTTCAAAGTCGATAACTTCATTTATTTAGTGTGTATACATGTTTGAGCTGACATACCTGATTTTTATTAATAGTAAAAATTAATATCTACTGACCTAGAGGTTGAAAGTCTTAAAGTAAATGTGTCTCCTAAGACGAACAGAACTTGTATTCCTTTTTTAATCTGAGAAACATCCTTCAGGCCAGGCACACTCTTTACTGTTAAGCTACAGGAAGCCATTACAATAAAGCAAGTCTCAATTAATCTATTTAATAAATTCACATTGGGACATTTCAAAGTCTATATCTACTCACTTCATATTTTGGACCCAAACAATCAGGTTTCAATCCTGGCTTGAGACAATTGGATGTCTAGCCACACTGATGAACTGTAAAACAGCAAAACAGTCTGTCTGTGCATGGCTATATATATATATATATATATATATATATATATATATATATATATATATATATATATATGCTCCTGAAAAAATTATTTTGGTTGAACTCTTTGGGGAGAAAAGTGAATTTGGAAACAGTGGCTATTACTGCTGCTGATGCAAGACTCTTCGTTAAGGTGAATCAAGTTCTCTAGTCACTGGTGTGTTTGTCTAAAAATAAATGCATCTAAATTCACCTTCATCCTTGCTGTGCACCAATGGCTTAGGGGGAAAAAAATCTCTGACTGACACCAAATCAGTCAGGTTTTGATCCTGGCTTGAGGCAATCAAATGTCTAATCACACTGATGAGCTGTGAAACAGCAAAACAGTCTGACTATATATATATATATATATATATACACACACACACACACACAGTTATAAATATATATATATATATATATATAGTGTGGGGAAACAAATATTTGTACACATACAAATTTTTAATTTATTGCATTTCCAACTAATGAACAAACATATTTCTCATATAATTAACTGTACACATGCATAATAACTAAATCTGCATAGAAAACAAAAAATGTTTGATTTAATAGAAATAAATCCCATTTATCCATTTTAATGGGTGAAAAAAGTATTCATACAGTGCAAATTTCAGATTTTAAAACTTTTAAATTGCTTTAATACTCTAAACTATTCAAGTGAAATATTCTAGAATGTTCCAGTAATGTTATCAGTAGTTATTTTTAGCCTAAAAATACAAACAGAACATTCTGTAATTGATGCAAGAACGTTATCATGGCAAGAGGTAAAAAACTGACAAATTTGCAAAATGGAACCAATTGTTAAGCTCTGGAAAGAAGTTAAAATTTATGGGAAAATCTCAGATAAACTGAATATTCCATTTATCACCACTAGCTCATTGAGTGCAATAAAAAAATAAATAGAAAAAATAAAAAAATAAAAAAAAAAAATAAAAAAAACCCTCAAAAACTGTTCAAAACCAAAGAAGAATGGGTGCTCCATGGAAGTATGCTTCAAGGTCTTTGTGGAAATTAATGCGTCAAATTAAACAAAATTCAATGGTTACTTGGCAAGAGTTGCTGGAGGATTTGCTTTCATCAGGAATCTTTGTCACTAAATGGACAATAAGCAGTGAAATAGGAACAATCTAAAGTCATACTCCCCTTGGAAAACTCCACTGCTGTTGAAAAGACACATATATGCCAGGTTGAAATTCGCTCATGAACATAAACATAAGGAAAAATTGTATTGGGAAAGAGTATTATGAACAGATGAAACCAAAATTGAGTTGTTTGGATGTAATTCTAGAAATCATGTTTGGAGGAATGACGGTGATGCCTTCAAACAAAAGAACACAGTTCCAATAGTGAAATTTGGTGGTAGCAGCATCATGGTTTGGGGTCATGTTTTTTCTGCAAAAGGTACAGGCAACATATCAGTAATAGATGGTAGAATGAATGATGGACATATCAAAATATTTTGGAAGTAAATTTAATGATTTCAGTTGAAAATCTTGAACTTCCTGCTGATTGAATTGTTCAACAAGATAATGATCTTAAGCACACTGCAAAATCTATGAAGAAATGGCATGCCGAAAATAATGTAAATATCCTGAAATTGCCAAGTCAGTCCCCAGATGTAAACCCAATTGAGAATCTGTGGAATTATTTGAAAATTCAAATCCAATCATGAGCTCCAACAAACATCCCAGATCTGAAGACAATATGCAAAGTATGGGACAAAATACCAACTATAATTTGAAGATTATGTATTCTTTTTATTGTACTGTATGAATACTTTTTTCGCCAAATAAAATGGATAAATGGGATTTATTTCTGTTAAATCAAATTTTTTAAAAATTTTTTATGCATATTTAGTTATTATGCATCTGTGTACAGTTAATTATATAAAAAGTATATTTATTCATTAGTTGAAAATACAATAAATAAAAATTTTTTATCTGTACAAATATTTGTCCCTGCCCCATATATATATATATATATATGTTTAACGTTGTTATTTTTAAAAATGTCTTTAATAAATAAATTGTCGGACCTCGTCCATTTCTTAACATATATATATATATATATTATTGATTAAAAGATGGTGACCAGAGAAACCTTCAAAATCTTGGTTGACTTGATATGGAATGATCCACTTATTTATTGTCTAAAAGTGTATTATGCTAACAAAACGTGACTGAAATAATATTAGTACATGACAGTCAGATATGAATTGACTAGAGAGAGAGAGTGTTATAGTGGAACACACCTGGTCTATAGTTAATAGACTCTCCTACCTATAATAAGAAGGAGTAGTAAGAGCAATAGGAGCCGCGCAGTGGGTTGGTGAGTCAGTCGATGCCGGACGACCATTAGTAGGATACTAAAAGTATCAGCGACCACAACTAGATTTCTCTGCGTTATACCTATTATATCAAGTTCCTAACGTTTTGTATGTCGAACCTATTTTAGGACCAACTTAGTACAAATACAAGCCTCAACTGTGAAATCACTCCATAACACAGAGAGAGAGAGAGAGAGAGAGAGAGAGATTGATGGAAAGAGAGAGTGAGACAGACAGACAAACAAAGAGAGTGATAGACAGATGGATGGAAAGAGAGAGAGGGAGAGATAAGAGGGAACTAACCTGGGAAAAGAAACAATGATCCATCCTTGCATTTTACTTCCACTGACATCCATTGTGAGGCATGAAAATGAGGATGTTGTTCTACATCATCGTGAAATGTCTCCCAGCTACGGAAATTCATGTAGTTCAATTCATACATCTGTGGGGGACCTAAGTAAATAGATCCATCTGCGACCTGTGTAAAGTACTCATTTGGTGTTTGCCACTACCAGATTAACAAAAAAAAAAAAAAAAAGAAGAAAAGTTAAGTCATTTGGAAGTAATAGATAAAAAAAAATGTTCATTGTACAAATGAAACTTTAATAAAATAAAAGATTCTTGTTTCAAATCAAAAATTAAATGATTTATATGTAAGATATTAATATTAAGGTATTCTTTTTATAAAGCATACCTGTACATTTTTTCCTTTGTCATTGGAAGTTTTCTTTTTTTCAGTAATATTCACGCTATACAAGGCCCAAGAGCCACTCAAGGTAGATTGTTACAGCATAAGACGTAATAACCTTTACCTAACTTAGAACCTCACCAAATTTGAATATGGTAGTTCCCAAAAGCAGGAAGATTTTGCAATACAATCCATGAGAACAAGATTTCTCTTCATGTCTTTAATGTGTCATTTCCTTTCATGACATGGACGATCATAGCTGTCCATTACTTCCTTTCCTCTTAGCAAGGTTTACCTTTTTACTATCACTCCAATTCCCTATTCTGTCATCCATTTACACAATTTCATTATGTAGGTTACTTGCCAATTCACTGTCCCTTCAATATGTTCTGTGAGTGTCATATTTTCCAAGCCTTCTCATTATGTGCCCTAGAAATTTCAACTTTTTCATTCTAATAATAATAATTGTCCCCTTTTTCCAGTAGACTTTCTTATTATTCACATGTTCTGACCATGGTATTCTGAACATTTTTCTATAGAACTACATCACCACATCATCTGTGAAGAAATTTTCAAGCATTCACTACCACATAGGAGGATAGATATTATAACTTTTCTTATATTCTTTGTGATGCCAATGAATACTTGTTGTCACTTTTCACTCGAATAGTAATATGTATTGTGATCCATATAGAAATAGTATAGTGAATAGAGTAGAGAATAGTGGTCCATATCGTAATAGAGGATAGACTAGAAATGGTGATCGTTAGTTGTCAAACTAATTCCTACTTATGTGTTTCCTCTATGGTCACATGGTCTACTTAATTCAATAATGGGATTACCTGTGTTTGCTCACTGGCGATCTATGTTCAAACAAGTGTCAGCAGTGACACTTTATTCCTATATAACACTAACAAAATCATAACACTACACAATCTTCTTCACTAATCAATCAAATTCCATCTCCAGAGAGGTAACATTACTCCTTTTTGGTGCACCAAAACAAAAGAAAAGAAAAAGAAGAGTATTGAGCTGTTATGCAGTATCAGTCCTCCTATATGGCAGTAAATGCTGGACAATCTCTTCACAGATAAAGAAGAGAGTTGAAACAACAGAAATGTGGTTCTACAGAAGGATGCTGAGAATATGATGAATTGAACATGTGAGCAATGACAAAATTCTAGAGACAATGGCAACAAGAAGGACACTTATGCTTAACACCATGAAGAGGAAGTTGAATTTTCTGGGGCACATGAGGAAAGAGTGTTTGGAAAATTTCATGCTCACAGGAGAGATTGAAGGTAAGAGGGCCAAAGGAAATCAATGCCCAACCTACCTGGCAAGCTTGAGCAAATGGATGGCAGAGCAGGGTTTGGGAGAGGTGGCAGAAAGACAAAATTTATTAAGAACTACGAAAGACAGGAAGATGTGCAGAGCCTGAAGGGATGTGGCACACAAAAAGAAAATGAAAAAAAAAAGTTTATATTCAAATAATGAAATTAATGATTTCTTCAACAATCATTTATTTTTTAAAAGCATAATTTTTGTATTCATAAAGGAAAAGTACCTGTTTGGCAATTTTTCATTAAAACTTTTTACAGGTATGTATAAGCAGCTGGCATGTTTATATATATATATATATATATATATGATGTCATACATTATGAAATGGACAAAGTTTGACAATTATTTTAAGTCATTTTTATGTTTATACATTCTTTTTATAGATATAAATATTTAAGTAAATGCTCCGTTTATAATAAACAGTATTAAACAACATTTACCGGCCTGAACGTCCGAGAAATTTTCACAGAAAATATTTGTCCCCCGACAGGATTTGAACCTGTATTCTATACGGAACCGTCATTTAGCTTGATCTGCCTTTAACTGATTTAGCCACAGACGTGCATTCAGTTAGTAAGGTCGAATTTACTGTATTTGAACTTCTTAAAATATTTGTCGGACTTTGTCCATTTCATAATGTGCGACGTCATTTGTTTATATTTGATACACCATGAGCAGATATGAATGTATACGAGAGATTCATAGAAGATTGAAGTTAACACTTTTGCTACTATGAACATAGTTATATTTTTACAAAACTTATGCCTTCTATGTATGTGCTGTGTTCCTTCAGGATATTGGCGATCATGGAGCTCCATAATTTTCTGACATTTGTAGCGCTTAATAACTTATCTTTTTGCAATCTCTCTCAAACTGTGTTGCACTATCCAAGCTTGCCAGGTAATTTGTGCATTGCTTTCCTCTGGCTGTCTTATCTTCAATCTGTCTGGTGAGCATCACATTTTCCAAACCTTCTTTCCTCATTATGTACCCCAGAAATTTCCATTGGCTTTCTGATGTTAAGTATAAATGTCCTTTTAGTTGCTATTGTCTCTCAAACTTCATCATATTTGGTCCATGATGTTCTCAACAAACACATTTCTATTGTTTCAAGTCTGTGTTTCCAAGATTATTAATATAGTTGTTTACTCCCATCTCAAGAAACGCATTTATTTGACAATATCAATACCATTGCAACTCAGTTATGAAATATATATATATATATATATATATATATATATGAACTGGATTAAATCTGACATATTGTTATTTTTAATTTATTTTAAACGTTATTTTTGATGGCTACTCGCATTTGAGTAGAAGATGTGCTCTAATTAAACAGTAGTTTTTTATCCCACTACATCTACTGACCTGAATATTGAAGAAATTTTTTCAGAAAAATATGCATCCTTTCGGCAGGATTTAAACCTGAATCTTCTATGGGGAACTGTCATTGAATCTGATGTGCTTAACTGCTTGGCCACGTACAACTTATGGTCAAACAAAGCCTGAACAGTGCCTTTTGTATACACACTCTCTGCCGATTCTCATAACATCCATATTTGATCTGTATTGTATCCTAACATAAACAAAGACAATATATTTTTAGGAAATGTATTAAATCCAACATATAATTATTTTTAATTTATTTTGTTTAAACATTATTTTTGATGGACTGGCCACATAGGATGTCTGGTCAAACAAAGCCCAAATAGTGCCTTTTGTTTGACCAGAAGTCCAATATAGCTGAGCAGTCAGACACATCAGATCTAATGACAGTTCTCTATAGGTTCGATTTCAGAATGCATATTTTTCTGACCTGATTTCTTGAATATTCAGGCCAGTAGATGTAGTTGGATAAAAAATACTGCTCAATTAAAAAAGAAAGCTTCTACTCAATTAAAAATAATAATTATGTATAATTGTAAAATACTTTTGTAAAATAAGGGTTTTCCATCTGGTGTTGCTATTGGAAACCAGGAGGTCACTTGGTAGCATTTAAATCAGTGGTCCAAATTAATTTTGTAGGGGCTTTGAACTGCCTCATTTCAATCCATACTTTTTTTTACTTTACAAATGTGTCAGCAAACGCAAAGCAAACAAAAGAAAAAACACAAAAACTGTTTTTATAACAAACAATCTTCAGTTTACTGTATGACATACAAAGCAATTAAATGTGTGATTTTTATATAGTAAGAGTGAAAATTAAAAGCAGGAGTTATTTCACTTTAACTGTTATTTGAATGAGTTATGACTAAGGAAGATATATTTTTTTATCTGGACTCACAGAAAAGATCTCAGTTCATGAAATAATAGTAAGTTTCAATAGAAAGAATTGTTCTTTGATAAGAAGGTCTTGTAGGCTGAAATTTGGTGTAAGATGAGTTCAAAGAAACTTGTTGAGCGGCAGAAAATGTAATCTTCACTTGAATATTGAAATGTTGAATTAATTTGCCACTTAACCGAATAGAGTTGAATAGGAGTGAGAAAATTCTGGAAAGCTGAGAATATGTTAAATTGTAACTTATAGCTCCAGAAGATTTTGAAGTAAATAAGTTTCTGTTGCCTGTAGTTGAATAGTTAAGAGCTGTTCAATGTTTGTATGTAGGTATGTGTATGTCATAGCATTTTCATAGTGTTTTCCCTTAAAGGGACAAATGCAACCTTTCCACTGAACTACATCAGTGTAGGTCTGAGAAGACAGGATAGAGAAAGAGTTGAAGATGTTACTCGTATTTATAATGTTGTATATCACATGATAGGTTTAAAATACATAGACAGATTTTTGGTGGAAATATTTTCATTCAGGTCAGAAACTAGGTCGATACAATTCGGATGTAATCAAAAACATGATATTAGTATTAATTGACCAATCAGGAGTCAGAGAAATATGAAAGCTCTGTGATCCACTTTTTTGCACAAAATTGAACAAGTTATTTTTAGCTATTTGAAATGATATAGAATTGAAATTCTACAATTTTACTCACTGTAACTCACTTTTTGACCCCATATGTGATGGTTTGAAACAGGGTACCCCTCCATCAAAGTTAAACCCTTTTATTTTTGCTTTTTTTAATTCTTTGTCTTCTCTATCTTGCATCTGTATCTCTCTCGCTGGAAGATAATCTCTATATTAACCCTAATATCAGGGATTTTAAATCAAGGAAACAAAAGGGCTATTATGTTCTGAGAAAGAAGTGAAGTAGGCACGTCACTCGGTATTACCAATGGGGAAAGATCATCAACAATAAGAACAGGGGGCTTTAACTCAAGAGGAGACCCACTTGTAGAGGCACATTTTCTTGCACTGAAATAAATTGGCATCACATTCACAGAAGGGAGGAAGGTAACGATTTTTGGAATGGGGGTAAACTTTCACATAGCACAGAGTTGTTAAATTTATTTCTATTTATAAAATTTAAAAGAGGTCAATGACATATTGTCACTAAGTACATTTGTACTGTCTTGTTAGATGGCTGATAATGAATACAGAGTAGTGGGTAAGTAGACTTTTCTTCCCTCTCTTAGAGAAGATTTGGATCAGACACTACTGACCTTAAAATTAGGCAAATACTTTGCTCTATTTCAAAAACTAATTTAAATTTACTGGAATAGCTGATTAGCATGCTTTTTTAGTTGTCTTTCATCACAATGTAATTCTCTTATTAACAGATTGTGACATCTATCAGAGAGATGAAATTTAAATTTTTATTATTGCATTATTCCAAACTTTTAACACATCAGCAGATAGCTATTAATGTCAACGACTGGGCACAAATAGTTATTAATTAAATAAAATTAGTAATTAATGTATATTATTATCCGTAACTACATGTACAAGAATGTTGTTTTTAATAAAAGTTAAAATAATAACCACAAATACATAAAAAATGTGTATATTGTCAAACTTTTTCCACAATATAGCTATTTGTGCTTTGTTTATTATCTAAACAATAATAATACCGAATAAATATTTTTTTAAACATTAAAGTATATTTAATCACATCTCCCTAATAGCTGTTGCAATCTGTAAAAAGATCTAAAAATAAAATATACTTTTCTGAAACTTTGAGGAATATTAGTTGATTTAAACTAAAAAGTATAATACATCTGATTTGAAACAAATATTAACTTTAAGTTTAAAATATAGCAGAAATGCATTTTTTTAACGTGACACTAGCTGTGTTTTAAGCCAACATTAGCTGTGATGACATGTTTGACAACATGATGACAGATCTAATGTTGTTCTATGGAGATTTTATCTCTAAAGTATAATTCAAGAAAATGATGTGAGCACATTTTTTATTTAATTTTTAAGCACTCGTTAATCTTAAAAATTTAGGAAAATATTCTCTGCAATCTAATGTTTTATTAAATTTTAGAAATCTTGGCTTTAAATTTACTATAGTCACTGCTCTTATTTTCTGATAATGTTGTGTATGGTTGTTCATACTTACAAAAGTTGGCATGTTTATACACTAATAAAAAATATTCAAAATTATTTTAAAAATATTAGGGTTTAATGATTTGCATTAAGCTTTTCCATTTATGATTAGTAAATATAGTTTTCACTTAATAATAATATCATCAAAACCACTGAAATAATTACAGAATTTTAAAAGATTTAAAATATAATAAATTATTCCAATTAGAATTAAAAAAAATGAAAATAATTCTTGCAAAAATTCCTTATTCATTGGAAAAATGTTTTTAATACAATAGTGTCCTTTGGCGGTACCTACGCAAAAATGTTTGTATCTCTGCACTTGGTGGGTAAGTCAAGTACAATTCTGCTACTGCAAAAAAAATGAAAAGTGACTAGAGACAAATTTATTAAAATATTGTTCACAAAAATAGTTCCCCACAGACTGCATTTTTGTGATCCCTGGACACACTAGGTAAAAGCTTATTTTGAACATAGTTACACATTTGTTTTAAAAATATTTTAATTCCACAAAAAAAGAAAAACAAACAAAAAAAAACAAAAAACAAGTCACCTACCTAATGATTGATTGATTAGTTTTCTATGGATTATAAACCTTTAGCTAGTTATTTAAAGCCAGAAAATGTTTTTAGAGTGTACAAATTTTTTTGAGATAAGGATTTAGTGAGAAAAGGCTTACTAATTAACTCATAGCTGGTGGGAAAAAGAGGTGTATCCATACCTTCCCCAAGGGTATTTGTGCATAAGTGGATATAACGAACCCAACTGGAATTGGAACACAGCTCTCCAATTAACAATTCCCAGCCATTATCCATTACACCAATTGCACCTGGTATTCCGAAACCGTCACCTATCTAGTTATAGACCAGGCTCAACATTGCTTAACTTCAGAGATTGTACAGGAACAACTACCTAATGAGCTTGTGTAAATGGATTATCAGAAAAGGGAATGAAAAGGGTAGCAAGAGTAGAAACACCACTTAGAGTTACAAAATATAGAAAGATGTGGGGAGCTATAATCTCCCATATCATGAAGGAACATAGTACACATGCAGTTGTGTACAGTTCTGGTACTTTCCATCCTCCTAATTCTTGACAATATTATCGCTGTTTCACTTTACTGTCTCCTGATACTCATCCATACCTCAGGCAGTCAGATAAACACCATTTGGCTTTCAATAAATCTGCTGGGAAAGCAGTGAGTAACCTACTTAACTCCCATCCTGAGTATAACAATAAACTACATCAGTGTCCTGGGTAAGATGATAAACTACATCCAACAGCAAGGCCTCTGATCAAGAGGTTTTGAGGAGTATGGAACCACCTCTTAATTGCTGGTGTTACCAGGTCCACTCTGACTTGGGGTGATAGCACCTGTTAGGGTCCCAGCTATGAGTAAATAGTTAACTCCCAAACTGGGGTCAAAACACCATGAAAGTGTAAAACTAGGTTTTAATACCAGAAATACTTTGTAAAATATCATTATCAGCAATACATTTATGGAAAAAAAATTTACCAGCAATAAAAATCTTGTCGGCATTAAATACCCCATATGCCGCAAAACAAAACAAACCAAACCTACCAAACTCTTTCCTCTTGTCTTCAATATCCTGTCAGTGTTAAATTTTCTAAGCCCTCTTTCCTTATTATGTGGCCTAGAAATTTCAACTGTTTCTTTCTGATGTTATGTATAAGTGCCCTTTTTGTTTCCATTTTCTGTAAAACTTTGGAGTTACATACTTGCTTATTCCATGGTAAAAATCTTGAGTATGGTTCTATTCATCAGCAGGTTTCCTTAATGAGCTTGTGTAAATGGATGATGGAATAAGGTTTAAGAGAGATAACAAAAAGACAAAATTTATAAAGAGCTACAAAGGACTGGAAAATGTGGAGAGCCATGATCACTCACATCCTGAAGAGATATGACACATAGAAAAAAAAGAAAGAGGTTATAGGCCTGAGATGGGCACATATCAAAAGTCAGTATGAGTGTAACATCAATCACCATCTTTTGTCTAATTGAATTCTGTTCTTTTATTAGCCTTTCTCCTTAGTAACATTTTATTTTCTTTCACCCTCAGTAACTTCTTGTATTTTTGGTGGCATTATTGCCATGCTTGGGATGAAATAACTGAAAAAAAAAATTTTTTTGGTACCAATTCGTTTAGTTGATGAAGAATCAAGTTTTGATACTGTCCCTTCTGGAACCTCAAGTGACCTTGCTTAACCTTCGGCATCTATCACCAATGTTAATACAACCTTTTATTGTGAAGTATAATAGCCATAACCACTGTTATATATTATCAATCCTTAAATGCATCTTAGTCTAAGTAAATGGCCTTCATTACTGAGCAAAAAGCCAACCTAAATTATATAACTTTAGAAAAAGCAAGCGTGGATCCAGGTGATGGGTTCTGACTATGCTGCTTTTCAAGCAAGGCAAGGATCAAGTAATAATTATATATATATAAGATATTGAAGACAAATATTTCAAGGTTGAAGACGAAAATCATTAATTTGTCTTTCACATAAAGTTGTTCTGTGCATAAAGCTTTCCAGGGGTGAGATCAAACTGAAGAAAAAAAAAAAAAAATTATGAAAGATTTTCATTCAGAATTGCTCTTCATTTACAGCCTAAAAGTCCTGTACTCACATGGAAACCTCCCAAAATGTGGTGGTGGGGTCTTACCTGCTGTTTAGTTTACTAGGCCCATTTAGTAACAACAACAACAAACAAAAACAAAAAAGAACAAAAAAAGTAGAGTAGTGACTTATTGCCCACTTATTAAGTGATTGCTTTAAACGAAAAATTGAATTAAATTTCCTAAACAACAAGTTCACAAAAATATTCAGAATTAGTTAACTATTAACGAAATTTCTAATTGACTGTCTTAGATGTTCAAGTGAGACCAATGATGATTAGATAGTCTCTAGAGACTGAAAAATTTTATTGAGAATATGGTCAGTCGGTCTACCCGGCGAGAGACTTTTTAAACCGAAATGAACAATAAAGTTTTAAAGATTAATTTTGCCATTGTTTAAGAAATTTAATTTGATTTTTTTGTGTACAAGAAAAAAAGAAAAAGTAACTTAGTAAGTGGGCGATAAAAATCGACACTGCTTTTCATAAGCCCGCCCGGTAAACGATAGAAAAGCAAAAAAAAATTCAATAAGAGATATAAATAAAAAAATAAACTAAAAAAAAAAAAAAAAACCCTCACCATATGACTCGTTGACTCGTGTGCTTCAATAATAACATTCGGCAAGTAGTCAACAAAACTGATAAAGAAAATGGTATTGAAGCGTTTTTTTGATCTACTTTTGTTGGTTGTCGTTGGAGTTAACCAATTTGACCACTCGGATAATGCAGTCAAATCTGGAATAAGGTTGAGTTCGCGACACATTTTCAAAAAATTATCAGACTTCTTCAGAACACAATGTCTCCATTCATTCAACTGCTCCGCCGGCAAATCGCATAATTTAGCTGTGCATCGTCGAGTTACTTCTGAATTACCTTCACTGTTCGGGTTATTATTTTGCTCTAGGGTGGCGTTAGATTTAGCTTTGTAGGCTAAAAGTATTCCCGTTTCTTCAAAGGTTTCCCTGATAGCGCAAATACGGAATGCTATATCGCTGGGGATCACACTGTACTTCGGGTCTCTTTTCCGGGATAAAATAGGCGCCCTTCTATTATCTTTAGTCTCCCGAGAGAAAAGACGGAACAAGGATTCACGGGGTGAGTAGGGGCCAGTTGTCGAACAAAAGCTTGGACCAAGGATGTCTAACCATTCCGAGGAGAAATCTGCATCGTCAGCGGCACCGCCTGGAAATACGTAGAAATTAGGAAAGAAAGACATTCTGGAACTGCGTTTCAGCATGAGAATTTTGTAATTCGCCGTGTTTACATTTCTGTCGTTTTCTTGTGACTGTGACGTTAGTGTAGTAGGAGTTGAAGTGGCGACTGCAGCCGCTGCTTTTCCTACAAGGATTAAACTAGCTGACTCCCGCCAGTATCGTAAGACGGAGGCAGACATCCTATCGGAAAAATCGTTGACAATAGATAAAAACAATACCAAGCCGGTATTTATTTACCTTTAGAAAAGTAAGTCTCTAGAAGAGAGGGAAAAAATGGCATTGATTGACGTTAACCTAGCAGTCAATAAGTATGCCGCGACGTCTGCTGGCTTATAATTGCCTCAGCTTGATAACATTCAATGTTGAAAGTGAAATTCAACTTGAAATGGCTGTCAACTTAAATGAGACTTGCTGTCTGGCAGTGCAGATCACATAGTGTGCCAACAGCTGGTATTTGTGTTGCATTCTAATTTGAGTATAAATAATTAAATTTACATATAAAATACACAGTAATGCGCGCGCACACACACACATAAAGATACGATTTTCAGCATTTTCTTTTTTTAAATTTTCTGTATATTGAATTTTTTTTTTTAACAATCTTGTTCAGAGTGATTTTTAGTGTCCTTGTCTCGCAGACAACTTTGTTTAGTTCTTTACTGGACTCTCTACTATTAAGTTGAAGTAAGTAAGCTTCTTATTATACGCCATTGCTTTTGAGTGGGAGCCTGGAGTATATCCCCCTAGAGCAGGTTGATTTTTTTTTTAACATTTTTAAGGAAATCTACATTGCACTCTGTGTAAACGCTGGGGTTTGATGTACTACGGATTGACACTTAAACGTAGATTGATAGCTTTTACTAATTTTTGAGAATTTAGTTTTAAAGATCGTCTAAAAATATTCACAAATATACTTAATTTCTGCCGGTTTTTGTTTAAAACTTACTTCAAAATTTTACTATTTCAAGAATAAATCCAAATAAAGTTGATATAGTTTGTATTAAATTGAATGGCAAATATATTCAAACCAGAATTCTAATTATGAATCATGACAAGAAAAACTAAAAAAAATGTAAGAGATTACAAAAAGAGTTTACTCAATGAATAAGGTTTGTTTGTTTGTTAGATCATTTAATTGTATATAACACTAAAATACTATTGGGTACAAATTATAAGACAAAATGTTTTAAAATTTGCATTATTTATTGAAAATCACACTACTGCACTGTAACATATTATCAGTGGTGGACAGGCCCAACAGGATAAATTTCTCGGTGGGTCCCAAAGTAATTACCGTATTTGATGGCATATAAGACTTAAAAGCAACCTCAATTTTAGCAGAGCAAATCAAGAAAATATTAGTAATTAGTAAAATTATTAGTAAATGGTACAGCCTAGTCTATTTTTATAAGGTATTATTTTGGTTAAACAAGCCATGATTCCAATTAAAATAATAGGAAAAAAGAACACGAGCCTATAAAAACTTTATTATGTCCTTTATATGATATGTACAGCATGCGTCTTGTAAACATCTTATTGGAATAATTAGGATATAAAAATTCTGATTGTATTCATACCAATGAAACCGGAAGTTATCGCAAGAAAAATATTAATGAAACAAATATATTTACAAATAATTTGAATTTATTGTATGTAATTATAGTAAAACAAGGTGTAAATGCTGCTTGTGTACTATGTTAAAGAGATTAATGTGGCTGCGTGTTGAAGAGCATTTAAAATTTATACATTATTGAATCAAGGAAAAACAATGAGAAAACGATTTTTGTTTCAACGAAAATCAACAAATACAAAACAATTTTGTAATGTGTGAATATTAAGGAAAAGAAAGTAGTTTCCCTTTATCTGTTAGCTTGAATAAAATATAATTAAGAATGTTTCTTGAATAGAATGTTCGAAGTTCTATGTTGAAATAGAATGTTGCATTCAGAAAAACATACAGTTAATTCCGTTGTGTGTTATTTGTATAACTAACAGTGTTGGTTTGTAACTTGCTTTGTTCACAGAAAACGAATGGTGAAATGTAATTCAAGTTCTGTGTGTGCGCAGTGAGTAGAATCAATAATCTGTGTAGACGCGTGTGAGATGCTGAATTCTACTGTCTATTTTTGGAACAAAACACTGCTTTTATAACTATTGCTAGGCTCCAGGAAACAAAGGCGGGAGAATTGAACGAACACAGAAAATATATGACTGGGTGAAAAATTAACCAATCGGCGATTTTCTAACAAAAGCATGTTTGCGAAATTCACGGCAGAAAAATTCAGTGTCATGACTGCGATTAGTAAATTGTCCTGTGGTAAACAGTATTTATTATTTAACCAATCACAGCTGAGAAAACTGTAGGCGTGGCAAACGTTGTAGTAGTCACTACAAAAGTACTACTACTAAATATGATGAAATTAATATAATGAATATTATCATTGATAACACTTTTAATCTGCATAAGAGCCTTTTAAATAATGGCAGACATATGAAAGTCTAAAGTCTAAGCTAATAGGAGTTGCCAGGTAGCTAATTTCGGCCGACTGTCGCGAATTTTAAACCTACATATGGCATATAAGACGCAGAGAAACGATTTTTTTTAGTAAAAAAAAAGTGCGCCTTATATACCATCAAATACAGTACTTTTATTCCTTTGACTATATTTTGGGATTAAGTGGGCCCTTTTGACTGGTCACTTTTACAAGTTTTCCTGGTAGAAATTTTCAACCCAGTTCGTCACGTCATATTATATCTTAATAGCTATATTGTTTCCCTGTGAAGTAAATGAAGGTTTTATTTGATGGTGCAATGTTTTAGTAATAATGTGCTTGTACCATGCATCTTGTCTAAAATTTAAAACTTTTAAATTTTTAGACAAGATTCAGTAAATAATAAATTTCATAAGGTCATTTATATAAGGCTTTCATTGATCACCGGAATGAAATTCCAACGCTACGATTTTGAAGCTAATTAATTAAACTTAATGTTTTGAACAAAACTCATTTCCTCAAAAAAAAAACAATAACAATTTGGAAAAAAAAATTGTGTCATTGTTTAGCATATTAAACCCCAACTTTCAAATTGAGTGCAATACAACGGTTCCAAAATCGACCAGCCCTAATGTTCCGCTAAAGCTGAAACTAAAGTATTTTATTTTACCATTTTAAACTTAAGGTGTGTTGGGTGATGAAAACACTTTAAATCTATAAATAAAACTGAAAATTATGGCAGCCCTACAATTAAGTCAGTATTATTTGACCGATATTACTAAATTATCTTAGCCCACCATGTCCCACTGGTTTTGTACCTGGTTTTCGCTTACAGTACACAGTTCCGAAACGGTCCCACATCTAAGTACTAACCGGGCTCGTGATGTTTGGTGATGTTTATAACAACATCAATAATGTTGATTATGATGATGGTGATTATAATCACTTCCGGTTCTTCTAGGGAATGCTGGGAGCAAACAGATCAAGCGGGAGTTTTGAATAAAATAGTTGTGTTTAGCATGTCTCGTGTCGTCTTTGTGTTGCTTCAGCTTTTCAGTGACCTGTCTCATATAATTTATTTTTCCACTCTAATCCCAGTGGAACAGGTGATCAAACGAGAACCGGTGTTTCGATGTGATTTGGTCACATAGCTTAACCGTTGCTTCATTGAAATGGAAAAAAAATCTTTCTGCCTCTTATTTCTTTAAATAATGACCTTATGATTGTTACTACAATATTTTGTTAAAGTGGTCAAGCTCAAATATTTAGTGATGTAACAGGGTAATTTTCATGGGTAATTTTATCGTCGTGGAACTCGCAAGGAGCTAAGCGACTGATCGCTAAATTAAGAATTTAAATTAAATTAAAAATTATGTTTGATCAGAAAATTCAAATAGGAAAACCATGAAAATTTTATGGTTTGGTTTGGTTTGTTTTGTTTTACGGCAAATCAACCTCAATGGGTTATTTAATGACGACAAAATTTTTATAGCTGATATTATTTTTTTTCCAAAAATGTATAACTGGTAATATATTTTTTTCAAAAATGTATTGCTGGTAATAATTTTACTTTAAAAATTTATTGCTGGTAATAATTTTTTACAAAGTATTTCTGGTATTAAAATCTATTTTTACACTTTCATGGTGTTTTGAGCCCAGTTTGGGGGTTAACTATTTACGCATAGCTGGAAACCTAACAGGTACTACCACCCCGGGGCAGGGTGGACCTGGGAACGCCAGCAATTAAGAGGTAGTTCCACACTCCTCAAAATCTCCTGATCAGAGGCCTTGCTGTTGGACGTAGTTTATCTTCTTACCCAGGACACGGATGTAGTTTATCGTCATGCCCAGGATGGAAATTTTATGGTTTCTACTCGTATATTTAAGGTATTATTTTAAAAAAAGAATGTCGAAGATTTTAAGTCCTCAGAAGTGCTTATTTGTTTGAACTTATTTAGTAAATCATTCTTTGAATGCAAGTGAGTTCTTGGTTGCTTGGTGAATGTTGATAGCTTATGAATAGGTGCGTTGCCACTGTGAGATTCGATGTAACGTAGGAATGTAGTAACCGAATGACATGCCGTCAATTTGCTGAAGAATTGAATAAGCCACTAATTAGATTGCTTAGAATCATTGTATTTAATCATTATCATAAGCTCCGAAGAAAGTGTGGAACGAAGACTGAAATAAACCCCAAGACAATCAAACATAAAATGACAAAGAATGGATTCTGAGTAAGAGACTTCACGCATATTTCCGGTTAGTAAATTAATTAATCCTTTGAAAATAAATATTTAACATTTTCCAACTAAAAAAAAAATAACATGCTGTGAATAGTATTTAACTAAAGTCCCTAAATCAGTATGGAGATAGAGATGGCAGCATACGACTGCAGTTCACGACGGCTGGTGCGGCTTAAAAGAGATTCCCTTACTCATTCACCAGTTTTCTTCACCAAGCTACGCGACACTTACACTCTTTCTCACTAAGCTACGTGATACTTACACTTTCTTCATCATTTTCTGCTTTGCCACTCTTTTTTTATGCATACACACGAAGAAATCACATTTATTTTCATCTTAACAAACATTTACAAACAAGGAACTTTAACATTCATACACGCTGAGAAAAATTTAGTTGTAAAAACATGAAAAGAAAAATATTTTATATGTTTATATTTAAAAAAA